TCAGTCCTCAGCTGGCGAGTAATGCAGCAGCTTCCGCCTCGGGCTGTGGCTCAGTCAAGTCCGCGGGGCAGATTCCCATCCAGGCTGAGCCCAGGGGATGCAAATCGGCGCCGCCTGCCCGCTGCCTCGGGGAAGGGGCGCAGGAGGCGGGCGCTCCCTGGGGAGCTGAGTGGCCCTAGGACCCGGCCGGAACCCAAACGCGCGGCCCCGGTTCCTGGCCGGCTGCTCTTCCCCCGCGCGCGGTGAGACGCGGCCCGGAGCGGCCGGGTGCGGGGAGAGAGCGGGAAGCAGGGCGGGTAGCGCGGGGGCGGGGTTAGGGAACGGGGGTTGGCGAAGGGCTGCGGGTGGTGTCTGGGCGGCAATGGGGGTTGTGGTGGGAGGGCGGATTGACATGGGATGGGCAATGGGGCGGGTATGAGCAATGGGGCCATTTCGAAGGTCGGGGTTTTTGCCCTGTTAACGGGCAGACAAGGATGGGGTAGGCTGGGCTGGGATTGTGGTGTGAGTGTAGGTAACAGGTGGCCAGAGAGCAGCAGCTGTTCCTGGGTGCCCAGTGCTGAGGCAGTGCCCCACCAGCAGCCATGCAGAAGAAAAGGCATCAATCCCATGCCATGTCACCCGTACTTCTGCGCTGCTGGTGATGGTGGTTCTGCTTTCAGAGCTCGGAGCCTGGTCAGCAACTGCCATTCTCCCGCTATCTTAGGCTCTGAAAACAGTGTTGCCACCAGCAGCAGTGCAGAAGTAAGGGTAGCAGTACTACAGTACTACTCCTTTTCCCCCAATACATTTGCAACCCCTGCTTCCCCACACACACATACACATCTCCTTTTTGGATCAGACCCTTTAGAATTACAACATGGTACAATTTCAGATTTAAATAGCTGATGTGACATTTACAATTTTTAAAGCCCTATGATGGCAAACTTGATCAAAATGGACAGTGAATTTGGTAGGTTTCTGCCTATGGTTCATTGAAATAACTTTGCATTTTGCGAGATGAAAGGACACTGACAGATTAAGGATCCACTGTGGGCAAATCAGTGCAAGTGACTTTTGGGGAGGAGGGTATCTATGATCCTGAACTGAATGGGTAATTAATGATTTAGCAGAACAAGTTAAGCTGATTTAAGAAATTTTAAAATCTGCAAACAGAATTTTACGATATTAAAAAATATTTCTCCCATCGATTCTCTCCCATGTCCTCATTCCTTCCATAACAGTGGTGGAAAAAAGGACCTCCGCAGGCTGGATGTGGCCTGCCAAGTGGGTTGATTCAGCCAGCAGAGGCCCTGCCACTCCCCCACCCCCAGGCCAATTAGGACCTGGGGGCAGGGGGGAGTATATGAAGTTTCCTTCGCCCTGACAGGAGTGCGCAACTCCTTGTAGGGTGGCAGGAGACTTCATACACTTCCTGCACCCCCAAGCCCTGATTGGTCTGGGGGCAGAAGAGGGAGCACGCAAAGTCTCCTCTCACTGTGAGGGGCATGGATACCTAGGGGGAACTTCGGGAGGGGGGGCAAAGGCGCTCTCCCATCCCCCTGGACCAATCATGGTCTATGGGTGGGAAAGCAGCCTCTCTTCCTCCCCCCCCCCTGCTCGAGGCCCCGCCCCTTCCGGTGTGGCCTGAGGCCACTTCAAAAATTTCTGAAGTGACCCCTGGCAAAAAATAATTGCCCACTGCTGATCCAGAATGAGACCTTACTTTTTAATTAATCTCTTTTTCTTGGGTGTCTCTAGTCACCTTTTATTCTTGCAGGCTTTCTTCCATTCCTTGTGTTCTCTAACTTTTTTTTTCTGGTGTACAGTTTACTAAAGTTTTCCTTCACTTCTTTTTTTGACTGTCAGCTAATATTCTCTTCCCTTCCTAATGTTTTGTTAATGTCCTGTAGTGTCAAGTATTCTAGGCATTAGGGATGTAAAATCCCATTTAATTAGTTAGGTGGTTAAGCATTAAGTTTAATCAGTTAACCGATTAAACGGGGCAGGTGGGCCCCCTGGGAGCTGAAGCAGCCTTCACTGGTTAACCATTAACAACCATGCTAGGCATAAGTTACATGGGTTTTCACCCTGTGATAGTGTTGCTGTGTACAGCAGTTAACACAGGTCAGGTAAAGAATTGGAAACATATATTAATTACAGTGATAGACCCAAGAATCTCGAATATATTTAGTTTAACAAAGAGAAGATTAAAGGGTAACTTGATCACAGTTTATAAGTATTTTTGTGGCGAACAAAAATGTGCTTCTGGGCTCCTCAGTTTAGTAGACAAAGCTATAGAAAAAGATACCATATCTGGAAGTTGAAGCTAGACCAGACATGGGCAATAATTTTTCATGGGGAGCCACTCCAAGAATTTGGTAAGTCACAGGTCTCAGTTTTCTGTGATATTAATGGAGGAGTGTGGGGTCTGTGATGGAGGTTAGGCTCAGAATGGAGCTTGGGGTAGGGGATCAGGATACACCAAGGAGTCTGTAAGGAGGTTTGTGTGCTGGAGAGGATTCTGACCTAAGGCAGGGCTCAAGGAGGGGGTATAGAGGGTTTGGGTGCAGGAGAGTGTTGTAACCTGGGGCACGAGTTGGGGTAGAGGTTAGGGATCTAATAGTATAGTTGATTAACTGATAAGCAAAAGCTTACTGGTTAATGCTATAGATTACATGCATCCCTCTGCCAGTACGTTTTTTTAGCAGGCTGGCCAGCAGCCCGGCTTAGTCTTGGCTTGCGCCGGGTATGGAACTTACCCCTGCTGTGGCTCTGCTTTTAAAATATATTAGGAGCCAGGAGGGCAGGCAGCCCGTCTCAGTTCTGGCTCACGGTTGTCCAGGAGCTCAGACACTCCCTCTGACAAGGGCTGTTGCAACATTGCACTGCTGCCTCTATATCAGAGGCAGCAGCATGAGGTAATAGATAGCTGGTCCGTGAGGGGAGCTGTTTTTAAAATTGGCTTCCCTTGCAGACCAGCTCCCGCCTGGCACAGAGTGTCAGGGGGATCTTCAGGAGTGGGGCCTGAGTGCACTGGCTGCTGGCCCCATCCTCGGCAACTAAAGAATAGTCGAGTAATCAATAAGAATTCGAGGTTAATCAGTTATTCAGTTAACCAATATTTAACATCCCTAGTGGAGGTGGGGTGCCAAGTGCAGGCTCTGGCTGGGAGGTGCTTATCATAGATAGCTTCCTACCTGTTGTGAGCTCACACTGATCAGAGTAGCTTGCTGCTGAGGCAAGTGTGTGTCTCTGCATGGTGAGTTTCTTGGAGAGGTAGCGGATCTCCATGTACTGCCCATGCTCGCAAACACTACCCCTGCAGCTCCTACTGCTGCTTTCTAGCCAATAAGAGTTACGAGGATTGTGTTCGTGGTGGGGACAGTACATCATTCTCCCAGCAACAAAAATGTTTTAACTGCATTTTGCTCTGTAAATATCTTCAGGCTCAATAGCTTGCCTGTCACGATAAATGAGACCAAATGAATTTTCTTAAGTGAAATACTAAAACAACCTTTGCTTTTGTTGCTCTTAGAGAGATTACAGTGAACCGTGTATGCAGTGTTGTATTATAAACTGGGGTCTTACTGATGAAGGCAAATTTTATTGCAAGTCTTGCCACAATGTTATAGAGGTAAGTAAGTTTTGTTGTTCTTTTTTTTTTTTTAAACATTTCAGAGCGATACATTTTTATCTTGGTGTTAAAAGGTATAGACGGTTAAAAGGCATAAGCAGTCTATGTGCATCATATCTCACTTATGCTGTGTAAAAATACTGTTCTTTCAAATGACGAGGTATGGAGATGGGTAAGAAGCTTAGGAATTTAGTTTGAAATCTAATCTATGTAATCTTCACCTTCACCTAACCTCTGCATGTCAGTTGACCATAAAAAGATGACATGTTCCTTTGTTTGTAAAGCGCGCGTGTGTGTGTGTGTGTGTGTGTGTGTGTGTGTTTGTGTGAAAGCATTGTATTATTGCTAAATTCATTCTTTAAATATTTGATCCATATAACAGTGATTGTTTTGCATCTTACTCTGTTTATTGTGTTAGGTTAAACTACTTTTCAGTATTTCTAGGAAAAAAAGCAACATCTACTTAGACAGTCCTGCTGCTGGAAAGATTTGGGTTGAAGTGGATCACAAAATAAATGTGAATCAACAGTGTGATGTAGTTGTTAAAGCTAATATCATTCTGGGTATATTAACAAAAGTGTCACATGAGACATAAGAGGTCTGTCTCTATTGGGCACTGGTGAGGCCTCATCTAGAGTACTTTGTTGAGTTCTGAGCCCAGTACTTCAATTTATCCATACTTTTCTTGGAGAATCTAGACGAGAGCAACACAAATTATTAAAAGGTTTAGAAAACGTGACGAATGAAGCATTAAAAAAACTGGGTGTGTCTAGTCTTGAAAAAAGAAGACTGGGATGGGCAGAACCTAAGTCTTCAAATATTTTGAGTGTTGTTCTAAAGAGGACAGTGATCAGTCATTCCACTAGAGAAGTACTGTGTCTTTAGCAAGGGAGAGATAGGGTATATCTAGACTACAGGGTTTTGTTGACAAAAGTGGACTTTTGTCGACAAAACTATACCTGCGTCCACACTGCCTTTGAGTTATGTTGACATAACGTCAACAAAACTCAGCAGTTTTGTCGACGTATGTAAACCTCATTCTACGAGGAATAACGCCTTTTATCGACAGAGTTCTGTCGATAGAAGGCATTATTGCATCTACACTGTCCTTTGCGTCCACACTGTTATGTCGACAAAGCATCTTGCTTTGTCGACAGAACTGGATGTATTCTAGACGCTCTTTGTCGACAGAAGCTTTGTCGACAGCATCTGTCGACAAAACTTCTGTCGACAAAACCCTGTAGTTTAGACATACCCTTAGGTTAAATATTAGGAAAAGCTTAACTACAAGGATAGTTGAGCATTGGAATAGGCTTCCAAGGAAGGTGGTGGAACCATCACTGGAGGCTTTTAAAAACAAGTTAAGACAAACACATGTCAGGGATGCTCTAAGTATACTTAGTCCATCCCCCTGCACTAAGGCAGGATCAAGTAACTTCTCAAAATCCCTTCCAGCCCTGCATTTCTATGGTTCTAGAATTATTGAAATGACCCTGTAGGAATAATGATAAAAGCCCAAGTCCTGCATTCAGCTGTGCAGAGGGGGACCCTGAAGCTGAGTTGCTCTGAACTTTTGACTTGATACATTTACTACTTGGTTGATTTCGCCTTAACAGATACTGTTTGGAACAGTTATTCCAATCCCTATTTAGGTAGCAGACCCCATCTCATGGTTGGAATACTAGGATCTGTGCTATTTGAGGTTCTATGAAGACCTGTTCAAGATGAAGAAAATAAACGTTGCCTTTTGCAGATGTTATCTGGGAAATAAGGATCCTTCCTTGGAATCATACTGAGCATCCCTTCTTTTGAATTCCTCCAACAATTCCTACTTGAGCTAGTCTGGAACTGCAGGGCTACGTCTACACTGGCCCCTTTTCCGAAAGGGGCATGCTAATTCTAAACTTCAGAATAGGGAAATCCGCGGGGGATTTAAATATCCCCCACGGGATTTAAATAAAGATGTCCGCCGCTTTTTTCCGGCTTGTACTAAAGCCGGAAAAGAGCGTCTAGACTGGCCCGATTCTCTGGAATAAAGCCCTATTCCGGAGGATCTCTTATTCCTACTTTGAAGACGCTCTTATCTACAAGCCGGAAAAAAGCGGCGGACATCTTTATTTAAATCCCGCGGGGGATATTTAAATCCCCCGCGGATTTCCCTATTCTGAAGTTTAAAATTAGCATGCCCCTTCCGAAGAAGGGGCCAGTGTAGACGTAGCCCAGGAGTGGGGCTCTTTGTTAGGGATGTACAATCCTGCTTAATTGGCTAACTGGTTAAACATGTTGTTTAAACAGTTAACCAGTTAAAGGCCTGCCCACCCTGCTGCCACCCATTACTAGGCTAGAACAACCTCTTCCCCGACACCGCAGGCAGGTGCGTCTTCAGTCCGTCCAAAGCAGCCCTTGCCTTTAGCCCCCTGCCACAAGCAGGGGCTGCACTGGATGGGATATTGGAGCAGCCCCTGTCTGTGGCATACCCAGGCCTGCTGAGGACAAAGGCAGGGACACTGGAGCAGCCCCCACCTGTGGGACTCTCGGGCCCACTGCAACCCCGACCCCCTCCCCTGCCGTGGGACTGTAGCAGCCCCCTTCCCATGGCAGACGTGGGGCTGGAGCAGCTCCCTTGGTTAACCTTCAGGGTGAGACTTACAGTTACACTTTCACGTCCCTACTATATGTTCTTAACGCAAGTTGGGAGGAAGGCTTGAGGGAGTCAGTGCATGTCACTCGCACTGTCACAGAATTATTTTTATGAAATCCATAGCATCTTCTCAAATTTTCCTACATGAACCACACTGATCAGGTGGTTACAGAACGTGCAGTGCTATCTGTATTATTTAGACCTCGCTATATGAAATAACTTATTTGAAGCGGAGTAGTGATTGCTAGCATGAGCAGTGTAGTTATTGCTCTAAAGACACAAGCAGATTTTAAGAGGTACAAATGGCTTTTAGGAACCTAACTCCTGATTAATTAAGTGACTTATTACCACTTGTACCTTTGAAAATCTCCTTCACAAATGTTTTTATTCTCTCTTCAAACATTGTGTCAGAGAGCATTCCTTCTTGGCTACCTGTCTACTGAACAGGCCAACACTGGGTAAAGTACCTTCCTGAGTAATTAAGCATGCTAGTTCTGCAAAGGTGGGTCAGCAGTTATCCATCTGTTTCAGATGCCCTTCAGGCAGTTGAGATTGCACTGTATATTTAACTTTTAAAAACTCTTTAACCTTCTTTAAAGGTTTTTTAACTGAATTAATTTAAAGATTACTAAGGGGCTGCGCTCGCCCAACCATGAACATTTAAAATCAATAAAAATAAACTAGCAGGCTGTGCCCCCTGATTGCTGTGCTCACCAACCCCCCTGTTGTGGGGACAGGCAACCCTGGCTCTCCCCCCACCCATCTGGGAGGGCCAGGCTGTGGCCGTGCCAGCCCCGGCCCTTTCTCTCCCCTGCCTCGCCAGCCCGGGTCCCTTCTTCCTTCCCTACCCTCACCAGCCCAGACCCCCCTGTCCTCTCTCCCCTCCTCTCCCTGCTGCGCCAGCCCCTTCTCTGTCCTCTCCCTGCTGTGCCAGCCTGGGCCACTTCTTCCTCCCTCTGCCTCCCCATGAGCCAGGGTCTCTTCTCCTTTCCCCCCACCAGCCTGGGCCCTTTCTGTCCCCCTAAGGCTACGGTGGTGTACATCAGGCCTGACTCTAACATTGGCAGCTAGGGGGCACTGTCCTGATCTCTCTCCTGAGCGGTCCCGCCTGTGCTACTCACTGCTCCAGCCCTGCCTGCAGAGCCCAGGGCTCCTAGCCGCCTGCCGGGAGTGGAAGGGAAGGAGCAGAGAGGTCAGTGTGGCAGTTCCCCTGGGTGGCTCGGGGGTGCTCTGGCAGCCATGGTAAGTGCAGCTGCTGTGGAAGGGGTGGGGCTCCATGGGGGCAGCTGGACTCTGGGCAATTGGGCATCGTGCTCCAGCTCCTAAGAGCCTGGCCATGGAGGAGCCCCCAAGAGCCTGCTGCTGGCAAATAAGCCCAGCTGGGAGCCCCGCTCCTAGCACCTGTCCTCAGGCTGCTGTCGCGAGCTCTGCATCCTCCTCCCCCCAGCCTCTGGGCTGCGATGTGGGGTTTGCCAATTACTGTGCCACGTTTCTTGGCGTTGAAAGCCCTGTGGGGTGGGGGTGGAGGAAGGGCAATAGGGGCTTGGTTTAAAATAGCGGTTCTAGGTGGCGAGGGAAAGCAGTGAGGTCAGGCTTGAGCTGGGGGAGGGAGGAGGCAGGCGGGATGCAGAGTGACATGATGATGTCACTCTATTGTCCTGCAGGAAAAACTTTTTTTTTTTTCATTTATTCTTGCATTTCTTTTGCTTTGAAGAATGAAAACAGGCTAGTCCAGGACTGGGCAGAATATGGCTCAGGGGCTGGATCCGGCCTGCCAAGCCACCAGATCCAGCCCACGGACCACCCTGCTGGGACTCTCAAACACATAGCTGTGCGGTTGAAAGCACAATCCCTGCAGCTTTGTGCTTGCAGGGTGGGGTAAGCTTCGTACAATCTCCTCGCCCCCAGCCCTATTGGTTGGAAACAACCAGCCAATAGGAGCTGAGAGATTGGCCTGGATGATGGGAGCAGCTCTTTCCCCTCCCTGAGCTGAGAGCCACACGGAGGGAGGAGCCTGCAGTTTCAAGCAGGGCTGCAGCAAGCAGGGAGCCCAGCCTGCCTTGGGGATGCTGCGGGCTTAGGTAAGTGCCACCCAGCCAGAGCCTATCTCTGGCGCCCCAGTCCCTTCCCCCAGGTCACCATTTACACCCTCTGCACCACTCTGCCTCTGGTCACAAGTCCTTCCCAGACCCTGTACCCCCTTCCACACCCCTTCCCCAGGCCAGAATCCTCTCCTGCAGCCATACCCCTTACCTGACCCTACACCTCTAACCCAGGTCACAACCTCCTCCTTTGCCCTAACTTCCTCTCAGACCTCACACCATCTCCTGCACCCCAGTCCCTTATCCCATGCACCCTTCTGGGCCCAACCTCCATCCTAGACCCTGCACCCCCACCACTGAAAAATATGGCCCATGACCAGTTTCCAAAGTCTTGGAGTGGCCCATTGCCTAAAATTATTGCCCACTTCTGGGCTAGTCAGTTTTACCCTTGTTCTCTTGTGATACTGCAAGGTTGCCAAGTTTAAATCCAAACATAAATGTTTTTGTTCAGTGATACTACTATAGTTTGTTAAACATACATTTTTATTTTTTATTCACAATTTTAAACTTTGGTGAAGTGTCCACTTTTAACTTTAATACATATACATTTTGATGAGCTAAAAAGGTAATGGAAAATGTCAGTTTTTTGTTGAAGCTTATATCTGATAATGTGTGTGCAGATTTTTTTTAAAAGTGTTTATATAAAAATTATCAAGCATACTTCATGTTACTTCAGAATCTTGATTTTAGTGCGTGAATCTTCTGTCTGTCTCTTTGTCAATGTATACTTACATTTAAATATTTATCTTACAAAATGTTTGGCACCTTGATTTCCAATATTTTCTAATGGTGAAGCCTGTTTAATTTTTTTCACTGCATCATCCAGATGTTTCTGCTTTCATATAATTAAAATTAAGGTTCACAATTTTTGAGTCTTTTCTCTCAGGGCTCATCTAGACTACAGGAAACGATCGAAAGAAGATATGCAAATTCTGCAGGAATTTGCATATCTTCTTCCGATTGCACTTTCGAAAGCAGAGCTTCCGAAAGTGAAAGCAATTAAGGCACAGCTTTTTTGGCGAGCCCCCACCCCTTTTTTGAAAAGCCACGTAAACCTCCTTTTTTGAGGAAGAACGGCTTTTCGATGAAGGGGGCGGTTTGCCAAAAGAACCGTGTCTTAATTATTTTCACTTTCGAAAGCTTGAAAGTGCTATTGGGAGAAGATATGCAAATTCCTGCATATCTTCTTTCGACCATTCCCCGTAGTCTAGATGAGCTCTCAGTTAGGTGTAATGAGTAGCAGTTATCCAATTAAGTTATACAGCACGTCCTCATTTAACACTATAGATATGTTTCAGAAAATGATCATGTTTAGTGAAAATGCGGGGTCAATTTTCCCATTGAAACCCTCTGCCGCTTTGCAGGGAGGCAGGGGAAGCCCCGTGCAGCCACCAGCGATGGGCTGGCTGGGGAAACACAGCTGCCGGAGTGCAATCGGGGGCAGAGGTGAGGGGGCAAGGCGTCCGGCAAGGGGGAGTCCTCGGGGAACGGCACGGCAAGCAGCGAACCTTCCGCCTCTTTGAACGGAGGCGGGGGAAGCCCCGCGCAGCCACCGGCAACGGGCCAGCTGAGGAAATCGTGTTATTCCGGGGACGGTCGTGTAATTCAAAAAACGTTCCTTAAAAAACCCGTGCTGTCGCGAAAACATGTTAAGCGAGCACGTGTTAAATGAGAAATTACTGTACATCAGAGGCAGTACATGCAAGTAGACATTGCTTTTTTTGTTAACATTAGGCTTTTATCAATTATCTTGCAGAGAACTACAGAGGTTTTAACTTCTGATGTTGTTCCTAACACAAAGATCCAGTCCATCTCCAAAGGACTTAGAAAGAGAAAAAAAATTGGTATGTTTACTTTTTGTCTCTATTGTTCTATATGTATAACATATAGTTTTTTCAAGTTTTGTGTAATTGTACTAATTTTCTGGTACTACTTAACATTTTGGCTAGAGTGAGCAAATGGATTTTTCTACAGGACCATACAAACAGAATTGAGCTCAAAATGATAATTTAGTTTTTGCTGGGCCTGCTCTTGACACAAATTGCATTGGTTTAACTAGAGGTGTAATGTTAAACAGGTCCAGTTTTGTGTTTATACATTCTTATTTGGGTTTATATGTGGCTTTATTTCAACAGGAAATGTAGGGATAGTAATAGTATCTATAAGTCATGCTGTCATGGTTGTTCACAGTTCTGTGGTCCTGGGCAGGCACAATACGTCCTATAGGCTGGATCAGCAGCACAGTGAGGGTGCTCCATTCCAGCGTTCCACGCCTCTCCCCGTCTGCCCACATTTAAGCAGTTAACCAGTTAAAAGTTACAGTTAAATGATTAAATGGGATTTTACATCCTGAGTGCCTGTGCTTGCTGCTCAAAGCGGCCAGCTGCAGGGGAACATGTGTATAACTTCATACTATGTACCCGTCAGGGGTTTTTCAACCTGTCCCTGCTCCCAACACAGTCTTAGGAAAACTAGCCAATGGGAGCTGCCTAGGTGCATGAAGGAAGTGCACAAAAAGCCCCCCACCCCCCGAGTGCACAGAGATGCACATGACCCCAGAGGCTGGTCACTTTGAGCAGCCTGCAGTGGTGCAGCAGGCAGGGAGCCAGCCCGAGGGTCCCACTGGGCCGTTGGCCAGGATCTACCTAAGATAAGCGCCTCTTAGCCAGAGCATAGACCTGACAACCCACACCTTTCCTCCCTCAACACTCTGCATCCCTGCTTCAGGTCACAACCCAAACTCTCTACACTCCTACTCCTGCATCTATACCCCCTCCCAGATCCTGCCCCCCATTCCCTTGCCTTAGGTTACAGCAGAGTTGCTTGCACCCCCTACTGCATCCATATCCCAAGTCACAACTCTCTCCCAGATTCTGCAGCCCCTCTTACATCCCTCTCCTGCACCAATACCCCATCCAGGACCCTGCATCCCCTTCTCCTCCCAAACTCCCTCCCGCACTCCACACTGGGTCCCTACTCTTGAGTGCTCTTTTGCACTCAACCTCCATCCCAGACCAGACACCTCCTCCATTAATATCATGGGTGTATGCGGTCCTTGACCACTTACCAAATTCTTATCATGTAAAATCCCGATAAAGCAGTTAAATATTAGGTTAACTGACTAAGTGGGATCCTGGGCAGAGGACCGCTCCAGCCTGGTTGGAGCAACACCCAACCCACAGGGCTCCCACTCCCAGCCCTGTGCACGGCTGGCTGTCATCTCCCAGCCGCAGCGCTGGTATAGCCTTCGGCCCGCGGCAGGCAGTGGACAGCTCCTGGGCATGGATTATCCATTCGCATCCTAATAGCCTCTGATGTGGGTGCAGTTATAATGCTGGCATAGTTAAAGCAGGATAAAAATTCTGTTTAGACAAGGCCAAGTGTGGATCAAGGAGAAGGGATGTTCTTGGAAAGGAGAAGTATTTGCAGATGAAGTAGATGATAGAGGGAAGAGGAAATTGATGTAGATACTTGGCTATCTAGCAAAAAAGGGCATTTACATAGCACAAAAGTGAAAGAAAAAATGGTGACTGGCATAGTGGAAATGAGAGAATGGATTAACACAAAGAAAATTAAGAATAAAACCCAATATAAGCAGAATGAATAAAGAAAAAAGTAAAATAGCAACAAAAATGTAAGATTTGAATTCAGGAGATAACGAAGGGAGAAAACTCTGCAGGATGTACAAAAGAGATAACATGGGAGACAATTGTACAGAAAACATAAAGTATTAATACTGTTTGCTCTCCCATTCACTACTGAACTGGATTCTAGTTTTCTGTGCTGGAAAAGGGAGAGAAATAAGCACACCTGTTTTTAAATTCATGACTGGTATCTTGTGTATTATTTTAAATTATAGGTCATTTAACAATCATAACAAGCATTATGAAAACCATGCATGGTAACTCTTACTTTGCTACAACTGTTTTTGTTCTTGAGAAATGTATGGGATAACTTGATGTAGTTTGACTGTTTTTGCATTTTTCTTAATTTAATATTCTGAACTTCACCAATTTATTGAAGTGTTTTAATCATTTAATATGTGTTTGGTCTTGGGCGCCAACATTTGGGATTTTCTTAATTTCAAACAAGTCCTTAGTCCCTGCACAAAGAAATTAATATATTAAAGTGCAGATATGTAAAACTGGAACAACAAACACAAATTTTTATTGCTCTTTAGATAAAGGCTGGGAATGGTATGTTTGTGAAGGTTTTCAGTGCATACTCAAGAAGCAAGCAGAAGCTCTGCAAGCTTTAGGAGTGTCTCCACAGATGAAGGTATGTTGACCTGACCATATTGGTACACATTGTCCTTATGATTTATACTTCAGGAATTATTTTAAGGTAGATAGAATTATTTCATTTTTAAAACTGACAGTAAATGAGCCAGTAGATGAGCCAGAGGAAGTGAATCTATGTCAGGAATAGTAAAAGTAATTTATAATTTTATAATCAGGGTTTTCATGAAAATAAGCAAAGAACATTTTTCTTGAATTGTAACATCACAATTTGTTGTTTTCAGACATGATTTTATAAAATAGAGTAATCTTTTTTTTTTTTTTGCCTTATCAGGATGAAATTCTATGCAATTTTTGGAGATGTTACCTTCAGAAGAGCAAACAAGCATATTGCAGCATGCCAGTTACAGATAATGCCTTGGTAGTATAACTAAGTGAAGTTCATAACTGATAAGCAAATGGTTTTGCATTGATCTTTTAAAATGTTTTTGTTTTTCAAGGCATGCATACATACTACCTCATTTTAATGAGGATGGTCTTTTAAATGTATTTTGCCATTTTAAGAAAATATTTGTTGTGCTGATGGAAATCTGTTCCTTTTTAATATCTTGCTTTGCTATTGCATAGCCAGCCAGCAGATGGAGTACAAGTTATAATCCACTATATTTCTAGAGCTGTGTTGACATTTAAATAATATACAAATAATGGCATAGAAGTATGTATGTTATGGGTATGTCTCTGCTTCGATACAATACCTGAGACTGGCTGGTGTCTGCTCGCTTGGGCTATGGAACTGCATAATTGAGGTAGAGATATTCAGACTCAAAGTAGAGCCCAGGCTCTGGCACCCTCCCCTATTGTGGTAGTTAGCAATCCCTGGGTTTAACATACTGCTCGAGCATCTATGATCATTTTTATCCCCAGATTAGGAATTGTTGAACTCTGGGGCTACAGTGTCTACATTGCATTATCCTGGTTTGAGTCCAACTACCCATATCCCAGTCTTTCTATTGTCTTCTCAAAATGGTTTCTCTAACTCTTTTTGTGTGAGGGTGGGTGGGTGGCAGTGGGGGAAAGATTGACTATCCAGAGGACAAAGAAAGTTAGCTGGAGGGATGATTTGGCAGATTCTCAGAGCATGGGACCAGTGGTACTGCATGTATACTGCAGAGCAGTAGGGCTTGAACTCTGGGTCTGGGCTTCACTTGGGCTCAGGCCCTCCACCCCGTTGGGTTCTAAGACCATGGATCCAAGCTCTGGGTTAGCACAGTTTGTGTGTTGATGGAAGGGGCTTAGTCTTGAGTTTGAGTTTAATCCCTAGATTTAGGTTGTGCTGTAGACATACCCCTAAAGAGCCAATATTGGTTTGTGCTCCATAGGAGTGGCTTTATCTGATCTTACACAGGTTACAGAGCAAGTTAAAAAACTTAGTTCCAGAATATTCTGATCATTTCCAAGTCTTAACAGTCTTCCCCCTCTTGAATTCTATATTTCATGAATATTATAATTCTGTGTATTGTAGGGATGTCCATGTGTAGTTGGCTATATGATTAACCAATATGTCTACACTTATTGGTTAATCTTGTTGTCTGCATACGTTTCCCTCCACCGCCTTGTCGCCTCTGTATCAGAGGCAGAAAGGGAGAGGGGAAGCACGAGCCATCTTAAAAGCTGATTCCCCCCAGCATTGGCACCGTGGACAGAGACTGCTCTGCATCTTTCTGCGGAGAGCTAGGAATCCCCATGGACGAGGGCTGCTGCCACCCCCATGCTGCTGCGGCTGCATCAGAGGCAGCAGTGCAGGGCAACAGGCCTGCAAGAGGCGCTGGTTTTTAAACTGGCTTCCCTTGTGGACCAGCTTCCACCTGCCATCTCACGCTGCTGCCTCTAATGCAGAGGCAGCAGCGTGAGTTGGCAGAGGGCTCCCTGGGAATGGGGCCAGGAGTGCACTGGCTGCTGGCCCTGCCCCCAGGAACTATTGAATAGTCATCTAACTAATAAGATTTCATATGGTTACACAGCTATTCAATTACCTGATATCTCTAGTATATTAGAAACCTCCTGGGAGTGTGGGAGGTTGCGATGGCTACATGATCATTGATATTTTGTTCTGACGAGCACACTATTAAAATAAAAATAAGCTTTTTGTATGGTAGGAATTTATGAGTATAAACAAAAACATTTTAGATATGACTTACTTTAGCATGTACCTAGACTGTCAGTCTCATGTTTGTTGAGTCATTGAGTTTTTGTAAGTCAAACTATTGAGGTAGAACTATTGTGGGATAAAACTATAAATTATTTACAAAAACAGATATCTGACATTGGTACAGATGTGGATAGTGAACCAGAGAGAATAAGTCTTCATGGCTTTTCATCGTTCTCTGAAAGCGATGGAGATTTACAGACAGAAAGCAGCTTTGGACGTGTTTCTTCCATTGGCAAAGCCTCAGGTAGGAGTAAATATAATTTGAAATCACTATTTATATTGTTAGGATGTATTTTTAAAAATGACTGTTCATTTAATTCTAATCGGAAAGATGTGGTGTTATAGGTAGAACATGTAGATGGAGGATTTCCTTTTTATTTATCAACAGTGTATTCTGTATTGTACGAGTCATAGAAATAGTCATGGTCCCTTGCCAAGGAATTCAAAGCTAGACAGACACATGAAACATAAGGGTCACCGAAGAAAGTTTTGGGGGTTTTTTTTTTTCAGTATATTTTTTGGAGAGAGAGTTGTTGGATTTTGTTTAGGGGAGTAATGGTGATGGTTATGGATTATGGGTTAAACTTAACTTGATGCCTGCTACTCAGGATAGAAAAATGAGCCAATATACTCCTTAAGATCATGTCTTCCAAAGCACTGCAGTTTCAAGGAATAAACCTTTGTGTAGTCAGTGATTTGTGTGGTCAGTGACAATCTTGTCTATTAAGTGTTCAGAAATATAGCTTAATAGAAGACTTACTGAACATTGCTCGGGTCCTTCAGGGTAGGGACTTAGGGATTTGCGGGTGCAGGAATCAGGGTTGGGATATGAGGAGGGGCTCAGAGCAGGGGATGCTAAGGCTCAAGACAGGAAGCAGGGTGCAGGAGTCAGGGCAGGGGTTGGGAAATGGGGGTAGGGCTCGGAGAAAAGGAGGGCTAGTAATTTCTCACCAGGACTTCCCTAGAGGCGGCAGGGGCTGCACAGCCCACCTGGGAGTGGTGGGGGCTGCATGGCCCACCTGCTGACTGCTCCCCATGGTCATTGGTGAGTGTAACTGTTCCTGCTATCATATCCCTCCCTTTCCATTTGATGCATATCCTTGTCCTGGCACAACCAAAGCATGACATTGCTTTAAGTTATGATGATGTTTAATTTGGTGGTCCTAGCTCTTACCATTTAGGAGTTCTTGAATAAATGGACTGATGGATGGATAGAGAGACAGAAACACACAAACACTCTCTCAAATATATAGTAGATTTTACTTCTGTTATATCATCTTTCAATTTCTGGCTGTAACTTTTTATTTCCAGTGGCAAGGAATGTCTTGTCTTCTATGGCTTTTTTTCATCTTTCCCGTTTCCCCCCCCCTACATTATGCTCTCTAGTTTCTCTTCTGTCTCCTCCCCCCATAACAACTCTGCCATAATTCACTTTTTCATCTACCATCACTACTATCCATAGAGAGACATGACAATTTTACTAGACACTTAGTAGCCAGTATACTAATCCTTCTAACTAAAATCCAGTACAAAATTGGAGGGATGTAAAATTGTTATGTTTAACTGATTAAATAGGGGCAGCTGGGCTGGAGTGACCCCCGCCACAGGTGGGTCCTGCTTGAGCCAAGTCTGGCCCGCCACGGACAGAAGCGGCTTTGGCTAGACTGGTGCGCCTCTGCCCATGAAATGCTGTGCCATGTTTGGTTAGCCATTCACACCCCTACTGTCCAGATAGAAGGCAGGAATACATGATACCTGATAGTGGGTATGTGGCTTATTGGTTAATCCTCACAGCTACGCTCTAAGACCCCTCCTGTTGCCTCTGTATCAGGCTGAAAATTTCAGCGGTCACATGTTTCCAACTCCTCCCCCCAGTTTTTTAACATCCCTAATATTGGGTATATAAGCGTTGAAGTAGATTTCAACTTCAAGCTTCTCCATAACCTATTGTCATGATTATCTTTGTTTGCATCTCCTTTTGCTTCCCCAGTGCCACTTCTGTTTTGCCTCATGTGACGCTGGCATGTTTGTCTTTCTCCGATTCACGTTTTTGTCTCCTTTTATGAAGCCTTGTATGCCTGGAATCTCCTAATTTTTTCCTGAATTTTTCTCTCCAATTTTCTCATCAAATGCAGATCTTCTGAAATGTATAAACTCTAGAGCTCTCTTCAGTGAAGAATAACAAACATATAAAAGAAAAGTCAAAACAACAGTAATGGAAACAGTAAAACAGATGTTTAGCTTTCCCATTCAGTAACACTAGTTTTGTTTTATCCCATTCCACATCTGCATTCTCTAATTAGATTACAAAAATCCTTGTTCTGAAGATCCTGTAATCTTGTGTATTCACATGTCACTTTACAAATAATGTGCAGGGCAAAATATTTTCGTGAACTTTTTTGTGTTATAAATATTCCAGCAAGTTGCTTTACAATTAATATTGTTTGTTTGTAAAGCTTAGTTCCTTAGTTCCTATTTCCATTTAAGTTCCTTTCTTTTACTTTTTTATAGCGGTGGCTAGAGTAACACACACTCTTGAGGAAGGCAAGTAATTTCCAGATTCTTCCTTTACACCTGGGGGAGAGGGGGAAGTATGCATCAGTGCACATGCATACAATTTATGCCCCCACAGATTTATTTGTTTTCCTGAAGAAAAATGACTTTCTAATGGGGAAATAAAGGGAAGCTACAAGAGTGATCATACAACTCCCTCAGCAGTATGTTTCAGGTGTCCCAGAGCAGCTGGCAGAGATGTCACTGTGGGACAGGGATCATGACTGGGGAAGACCTGGCTGGGGAAGACCTGGCTGGAGCCTTCTACCCTGTGCTGGGCTCAGCTTCTAGTCATAGCTGGGCTGGGGAGGACAAGACTTCTTCTTTCCTTTCATGGCATCCAGAGCTGGTTGAGACCCTCCAGTGCAGGAAGTTCTTGAAATGACCTTACCTCCTGCATCCCTCACTCCTCAGCTGCTTGGGGAGAGAACTCTGTTCAGGGAGCTGCTCCCCTCTCTCCACTCCACCCCCTTATATCCAGACCCTCCTATAGAGTCTCAGCTCTTCTTCTCACTTTTCTGCACCTGGACCATCCCAATGAGCCACTTAGATGATTCCCATCTTAGGGGGGAGGAATAGCTCAGTGGTTTGAGCATTGGCCTGCTAAACCCAGGGTTGTGAGTTCAATCCTTGTGGAGGCCATTTAGGGATTTGGGGCAAAAATTTGTCAGGGATGGTACTTGGTCCTGCTGTGAAGGCAGGGGACTGGACTCAATGACCTTTCAAGGTCCCTTCCAGTTCTAGGAGCTAGGCAATCTCCATTAATTTTTTTTTAACTACACCTGGATCCCAGCCCCCTTTCCCAGCATCTGGATCCCCCCCAAACTCAGACCTTCACCAAGGTCTATCCTCCCCACATCTCCAGACACCTCCACTGAGCCCCAATCACCTTCATGCCAACCTCCTGCAGAGCCCTATTACCATTGTATCAAGAACCCCTAAACAAACCACTGTGTATCCAAATCTCTCCTGCACCCAGGTTCCCCACTGAGCTGCTCATACCCAGACTGTCCCACACAGAACCTTCTCAGCCCACACCTGGATCTTCCTGCATTAAGCTATTCCACGCTTGCATTGTGCCTTACTTAGCCTTCTTGGCCTTGCTTGGTGCACCTGGCACAAAGGGGCAAGATCATGGAGTGTTTCTGGGGCAGGCCTGGTTCTTGTGCTGCATCAGGGTTGGATGCAGCCTCACCATTGAGTCAGACTGTGTCTAGACTGGCCAGTTTTTCTGGAAAATCAGCAGCTTTTCCGGAAAAACTTGCCAGCTGTCTACACTGGCCTCTTGAATTTCCAGAAAAGCACTGACGATCTCATGTAAGATTGTCAGTGCTTTTCCGGAAATACTATGCTGCTCCTGTTTGGACAAAAGTCTTTTTCTGAAAGACTTTTGCGCAAAAGGGCCAGTGTAGACAGCACCGTACTGTTTTCCACAAAAAAGCCCCGATCGCGAAAATGGCGATCGGGGCTTTTTTGCGGTAAACCGCGTCTAGATTGGCCCTGGACGCTTTCCCGCAAAAAGTGCTTTTGCAGAAAAGCATCCTGCCAAACTAGACGCGCTTTTCCGAAAATGCTTTTAACGGAAAAGTTTTCCGTTAAAAGCATTTGCAGAAAATCATGCCAGTGTAGACGTAGCCTCAGTGTCCCAGGAGAGAGATGCACAGTGAACTTATACCTCTGTGGAGACAGGGATTTTTGATGCCTAGTACCATGCTGGAGCCTCCATATTTATTTGACAAATAAAATTTACAAAAATCTGTGGAATGGCTCAGTTTTTTGGTGCAGAATGCCCTCAAGAGTATTCCTAGTCTATCTTTGTTTCACGCTGTGGAGTACAAAAATGGAGTTCAGATTTTGTAAGAGATCACATCCCTTTCAGTAAAATCATTTTTAAAGTCAACACTTGAATTCGGCAACATAAAATTGCCTGTGCATTTCATATTCACTGTATCAAAAATCATATGGTAAGAGTAGCTGTCATTTGTATAATGAAAGTTGGTCCAAATGAGCAGTATTGCATTTTTTTCTACACATTGGTTATTCATATATTATGTATAATAATTTTTCTGTGCTGTATCATTGAATTATTGATGGCTTGCTGAGGGGGATTTGGGTAACATTTTAAAATGCTTTTCTAATTAATAAACATTTTATCACTATGTTTATCTGTGGATAATAGTTAATAGCAAGCTAGTAGGCTAACAAATTCCATTGGTGTAGTCTGGCCATTGTTTGAGAAGCCTATTAAATTCTTAAGTTGTTGTTGTGTCCTTTTTAATTGTATGTTGTGTGAGGTTTAGTGCTGACTGTGCAATGTGCCCTTTATAACCTGGAACAAATGAAAGTAAAGCTGCTATGTCACCAAAAGCGCTACAAATAGAACAAGAGGATTACTTTAAATCAAGCCATATATAAAGTTAGCTATGAAGTTTCAACTATGAGGCCTCCTTGAGGCACAGTTAAGGTGAAACTGATGACTGACAAGATTACATGACATTCATGCTTTTATTCTGTGACTTGTGTGTACATAATAGATGTTCTATGATTGCTTTTGTGTTTACTTCACAAATTTTTACCAGACATATGCTGGGGAGTCAATTTCTTGATAACTATTTGTAATGTCTTTGCAGTGTCTTTAATGCCAGTTACTGGCTTTGTAGATGTGTAGGTGCCATCAGAGACAAGTGCTGGTTCAGGAGTTGAATATTTGTTGTCACACACAGGAGCTTGAGAGCACTTGGTCAATTGGAATTTGAAAGCCAGGTCCCATCAGAGACAAGTGCTGGTTCAGGAGTTGAATATTTGTTGTCACACACAGGAGCTTGAGAGCACTTGGTCAATTGGAATTTGAAAGCCAGGTCCCATCAGAGACAAGTGCTGGTTCAGGAGTTGAATATTTGTTGTCACACACAGGAGCTTGAGAGCACTTGGTCAATTGGAATTTGAAAGCCAGGTCCCATCAGAGACAAGTGCTGGTTCAGGAGTTGAATATTTGTTGTCACACACAGGAGCTTGAGAGCACTTGGTCAATTGGAATTTGAAAGCCAGGTCCCATCAGAGACAAGTGCTGGTTCAGGAGTTGAATATTTGTTGTCACACACAGGAGCTTGAGAGCACTTGGTCAATTGGAATTTGAAAGCCAGGTCCCATCAGAGACAAGTGCTGGTTCAGGAGTTGAATATTTGTTGTCACACACAGGAGCTTGAGAGCACTTGGTCAATTGGAATTTGAAAGCCAGGTCCCATCAGAGACAAGTGCTGGTTCAGGAGTTGAATATTTGTTGTCACACACAGGAGCTTGAGAGCACTTGGTCAATTGGAATTTGAAAGCCAGGTCCCATCAGAGACAAGTGCTGGTTCAGGAGTTGAATATTTGTTGTCACACACAGGAGCTTGAGAGCACTTGGTCAATTGGAATTTGAAAGCCAGGTCCCATCAGAGACAAGTGCTGGTTCAGGAGTTGAATATTTGTTGTCACACACAGGAGCTTGAGAGCACTTGGTCAATTGGAATTTGAAAGCCAGGTCCCATCAGAGACAAGTGCTGGTTCAGGAGTTGAATATTTGTTGTCACACACAGGAGCTTGAGAGCACTTGGTCAATTGGAATTTGAAAGCCAGGTCCCATCAGAGACAAGTGCTGGTTCAGGAGTTGAATATTTGTTGTCACACACAGGAGCTTGAGAGCACTTGGTCAATTGGAATTTGAAAGCCAGGTCCCATCAGAGACAAGTGCTGGTTCAGGAGTTGAATATTTGTTGTCACACACAGGAGCTTGAGAGCACTTGGTCAATTGGAATTTGAAAGCCAGGTCCCATCAGAGACAAGTGCTGGTTCAGGAGTTGAATATTTGTTGTCACACACAGGAGCTTGAGAGCACTTGGTCAATTGGAATTTGAAAGCCAGGTCCCATCAGAGACAAGTGCTGGTTCAGGAGTTGAATATTTGTTGTCACACACAGGAGCTTGAGAGCACTTGGTCAATTGGAATTTGAAAGCCAGGTCCCATCAGAGACAAGTGCTGGTTCAGGAGTTGAATATTTGTTGTCACACACAGGAGCTTGAGAGCACTTGGTCAATTGGAATTTGAAAGCCAGGTCCCATCAGAGACAAGTGCTGGTTCAGGAGTTGAATATTTGTTGTCACACACAGGAGCTTGAGAGCACTTGGTCAATTGGAATTTGAAAGCCAGGTCCCATCAGAGACAAGTGCTGGTTCAGGAGTTGAATATTTGTTGTCACACACAGGAGCTTGAGAGCACTTGGTCAATTGGAATTTGAAAGCCAGGTCCCATCAGAGACAAGTGCTGGTTCAGGAGTTGAATATTTGTTGTCACACACAGGAGCTTGAGAGCACTTGGTCAATTGGAATTTGAAAGCCAGGTCCCATCAGAGACAAGTGCTGGTTCAGGAGTTGAATATTTGTTGTCACACACAGGAGCTTGAGAGCACTTGGTCAATTGGAATTTGAAAGCCAGGTCCCATCAGAGACAAGTGCTGGTTCAGGAGTTGAATATTTGTTGTCACACACAGGAGCTTGAGAGCACTTGGTCAATTGGAATTTGAAAGCCAGGTCCCATCAGAGACAAGTGCTGGTTCAGGAGTTGAATATTTGTTGTCACACACAGGAGCTTGAGAGCACTTGGTCAATTGGAATTTGAAAGCCAGGTCCCATCAGAGACAAGTGCTGGTTCAGGAGTTGAATATTTGTTGTCACACACAGGAGCTTGAGAGCACTTGGTCAATTGGAATTTGAAAGCCAGGTCCCATCAGAGACAAGTGCTGGTTCAGGAGTTGAATATTTGTTGTCACACACAGGAGCTTGAGAGCACTTGGTCAATTGGAATTTGAAAGCCAGGTCCCATCAGAGACAAGTGCTGGTTCAGGAGTTGAATATTTGTTGTCACACACAGGAGCTTGAGAGCACTTGGTCAATTGGAATTTGAAAGCCAGGTCCCATCAGAGACAAGTGCTGGTTCAGGAGTTGAATATTTGTTGTCACACACAGGAGCTTGAGAGCACTTGGTCAATTGGAATTTGAAAGCCAGGTCCCATCAGAGACAAGTGCTGGTTCAGGAGTTGAATATTTGTTGTCACACACAGGAGCTTGAGAGCACTTGGTCAATTGGAATTTGAAAGCCAGGTCAGAATCATGGCCAGCATTTTACACAACAGTGCTTTTATTATAATGATATGACACAACCTCTCCCTTTCTTGTCCTGACTGCTGAGGTAGGAGAAAATATTTGTTCTCAAGAATTCTTACTGCTGAAAAGGTTTACATTTTAAAGAGAAGAATTAACTTTCCCATATATCCCATGCTGCCTCCAAACTTACTGATGGATTGAAAAGAGGGGAGCATTCCTTATCCATGGTTTCCTTTTGTTATATTGGCTGTTACGTAGTATCTGTTGGGGCTTTTTTTCTCTCCTTCCTTGCCCCCTGTGTCCTAGTTGCTACATTTCTATTTTGTATGGAACTACACTTATTTATTCACAGAAATACAAATTTTTCATGCATGGAGAATTTTAAATAGTCTAAGTTCAGTCTTTATATTTTACAAGTTGCATTAGTTCTCTTGGGAAAGCCCTGGTTATACTGAGATTTAAAAACCTCATTAGCCTGAGGGGGAAAATGTAATCCTCTGTTCTGTGGAATCTTCTGAGAGCCAGGAACTTCTGAGTTCTAATCCTGAACTGACGTATTCCGCTTTGACAAATCGCTTATCCTCTATTCGTTGATATACAATGTGTAAAATTAGGATAATACTTATACCTACCTCATGGGATGTTTTGCGGATTAGTTAATGTTAGTGAGGTATTGTATAACAGTTAAGTATTAGCACCTTTCTAGAGATCCAGGTTTAAACATGCAAAAGCGGCGAGGAGTCCTGTGGCACCTTATAGACTAACTGAAGTGTAGGAGCATAAGCTTTCGTGGGCAAAGACCCACTTCGTCAGATGCATGTAGAGGTTTAAACATGGGTCTCATCAGGTTACTACTTCCAAGTTTTAACATTTTTGTATATACTGGGGGACACACGCAGTCCTTCTGGTGTGTGTGTGAATTTCCCCTAGATAATCACCATACTGGCTCAGACCAAAGATCTATCTAACCCAGTACCCTGCCTTCTCACGGTAGCCAATACCAGATGCTTCTGAAGGAATGACTAGAATAGGTAATCGTCAAGTCACCCATTCTGTGTGGTGCTACATTGGCACTGGTTCTCAGTGAGATAGTGACACAGGAAGACAAGCTAAGAGATACTTTGAGAGTTAAGCCATTTAGAACACTAACACCAAAGCTTTGATTTAAAGCTGCCGCTAATGACTTAACACAGCTTGTTGGATGATGAGTTTCTTTTGTTCTCTGTATATCTGTGTTCATATAAAGTTATTTTTATATGTGTTTCTTATCAGCAACAGAAACCACATCTGTCTGCTCCGGATCGGTAGATGGTGGCTCGTATTTACTGAAGAGGAAAAAAGGGGACTTGAAGATGTCCATGCCAATGACGCTTTCACTTTGCTATTTGGCATTACTCTGGCTGAGAGAACCAGTGACGTTATCAGATCTTTTAAGGTATAAATAGTCTCTGTGAAATATTTGCTGATGTTGTAAGTAATCCGTTTTTAAAAATTTGGGTTACTTGCTTATTAACTAGTTGAATTATAGCTAGAGCAGGTAGTTATCCTATGTTTAGGTTTCTTTTCATTTTCCATGGTCAAAGATTCTTGCAACCATTTTTGAAAGTCTCTAATAACTCTGTTGTTTGCAACAAGTGTTTGAAATTTGTTAGGGAGAGAAGTCCTAGTGTTAGAGAAGTGCCTTTTCTTTGTCCCATGAAATTTATTGTCACATTTAGTTGAATTATAAATAAATATTTCAGTTTCACTTCTCATTTATACTTTTCCTAGGGATGTTAAGATTTAACTGGTTAACAGTTGGAGATGAAGAAACTCCCCGTCTGCCATGGATAGGGACTGCTCTAGTCTTGCAGGGGCCTGCCTCAGACAGGGGCTGCTCTGGCACCCGCATGTCGGGTCTCCTCTGGCTAGGATAGAGTAGTCCCTGCCTGCGGAGTGGGTGGGGATGTACTAGTCCACTTGCCCCCTTTAATTGGTTTACCATTTAAACAGGATTTTACATCCCTAATTCCTCAAGAGAATGTTAGTACCCTAATAACTGAGTGAATAGTGCCCTGCGTGGATACAAAATTTGTATCTGTGTTCATATATGTCGGGTCTCCTCTGGCTAGGATAGAGTAGTCCCTGCCTGCGGAGTGGGTGGGGATGTACTAGTCCACTTGCCCCCTTTAATTGGTTTACCATTTAAACAGGATTTTACATCCCTAATTCCTCAAGAGAATGTTAGTACCCTAATAACTGAGTGAATAGTGCCCTGCGTGGATACAAAATTTGTATCTGTGTTCATATAAATGAGCCGGGGACATCTGCATCCATATCCACAGATGTGGATACCCATGGATATCTGCACATTTTTAGTGTTATAGATACAAAAATTATATATGCATCCCAATCCGTATCTGCAAAAATGAGCTGCGGCTATCTGCATCCATATCTCCAGGGCTCTCGAGGTGATCCTGGCAGTTACAGACCAGTAAGTCTAACATCAGTACCGGGCAAATTAGTTGAAACGGTAATAAAAAATAAAATGATCAGACTTGCAGATAAACATAATTTGTTGGGGAAAAGTCAATATGTTTTCTGTAAAGGGAAATCATGCCTTACTAATCTACTAGAGTTCTTTGATGGAGTCAACAAACTTGTGGACAAGGGAGATCCAGTAGATATCATGTACTTGGATTTCCAGAAAGCCTTTGACAAGGTCCCTCACTAAAGGCACTTAAAGTTAGTTGTCATGGTATAAGAAGGAAGGTCCTCTCATGGATTGATAACCGGTTAAAGGCAGGAAACAAAAGGTAGGAATGAATGGATGAAGAACTTCAAAAAGATCTCACCAAACTAAGTGATTGGGAAACAAAATGGCAAATGAAATGTAATGTTGATAAACATAGCTTGACAAACCACGGCGAAAACCACTCACCAGCCCCACACTGCGCATGTGCGAGACCTGCACTGAGCATGTGTGAACCGCCGGTGAACAGGGTGACCAGCTGAAATCTACTCTCTATGGACGAATAGATAAATGGATTTGTCAAGCTTTGTTGATAAATATAAATTAATGCACATTAGAAAAAATCCCAGTTATACATACAATATGGGGACTAATTTACTCAAGAGAGAGAGAGATCTTGAAGTCATTGTGGATAGTTCTCTGAAAACTAGTGTGCAGCAGCAGTCAAAAAGCAAACAGAATATTAGGAATCCTAGAAAAAGGGATACAGAATAAGACTGAGAACATCTTACTGCCTCTATATAAATCCATGGTGTGCCCACACCTTGAATACTGCGTACAGATGTGGTTGCTCATCTCAAAAAAGATATATTGGCATTGTAAAAGGTTCAGAAAACAGGAACAAAAATTATTAGGGATTTGGAACGGGTTCCATATGAAGAGAGATTAAAAAGATTTTTCGTCTTAGAAAAGAGGGGACTATCGAGGGATATGATAGAGGGCTATTACATCATGAATGGTATGGAATGAGGGGTCACCATAAGAATTAGGGGTCACCAAATGAAATTAATAGATAGCAGGTTTAAAACAAACAAAAAGAAGCATAAAACAGTGCACCGTCAGCCTGTGGAACTCCTTGCCAGAGGAGGTTGTGAAGACCAGGACTTTAACAGGGTTAAAAAAAGAACAAGATAAATTCCTGGAGGTTAGATTCATCAATGGCTATGAGCCAGGATAGGTTGTAATGGTGTCCTTACCCTATGTCAGAGGCTGGGCATGAGTGACAGGAGAGGGATCACCTGATGATGCCCTGTTCTATTCACTCCTTCTGGGGCATCTGGCATTGGCCACTGTTGGAAGACAGGATACTGGGCTAGATGGACCTTTGGTCTGAGCCAGTATGGCCGTTTTTATGGTCACATGTGGATACTATAGATTAAGTTGGATATCCGTGGATTTGACGGACTCTATGAATGAATGCTCTAAAGATCCAGGCTTATGCTACTGCCAAAATATCAGCCTCAGTACAAATCATAAATATGGCTTCCATCTTCTTGACTTAAATGCTTGTGTTTTAACACATTTTTGTGTGCAATAAAATGGAGGTATAGACTCAAATTGAGAAGTAAAACATGCCCACTAAATTGTGTTAATATTCAGGCTTGCATTTTAGTTCTTTATATATAGTTTATGAATATTTAAAACAATGGAATACTAGTCATGCTAAGTGTCCCACTTCCCCCCCCCCCCAAAAGTGGTAGAAGCAGAGGTACTGTTCCTCCTCTGTCATATATGCTTGGGCACCACTTCAAGGCATCCAGCCAGTTTCTAAGGAATTTATATTACAGCACCCAAAAATTCTTATGACTACTATTTGGAGTATTCAGTACATAACCTTGCAATTAACTCATCTTATTAGTTAAAAATAACATTTTAAAATGTTCCTACATATGTTTCAAATAGCAATATTTTTTTGTTAACATTCAATATGATGGTTGTTTTTTATGTTCCTTTTCAACATATAAGACTACAGTTTTAACATGGTAGACTTCATGTGGCTTTGAAAGAATATAGTAATGCAGTCTAAAATAGGTTCAATCTAGCAAGTCTAACAAGACCAGAATTTTAACCAGTTTGTGGCACTTCTGTTGTAGCCTTGGCATATTATTTTTTATATCATACACAAGACCTAGGGCTTATCTACCTTGGATCATCCTATTTAAAAAGACAGACTATTATGTCCCATCTGTTTTTTGCAATAGGAACATGTTTAAAACTTTGTTTAAATACAGCTTATTTTAAATTAGATACAAGCAACACCTCGTAAAATAAGCGTGAATGAGACAAAAGATGTTAAAATTGCTTTAAAAATGTATTCGAACCTGGGGCACTTGGAGTTGGGGGGGGGGTCATACAAAAATTGGATGTTTTCTCACACAGTGTTTATCTTCATTATAATATTTGTAGCTCTCTGTATTTACACGGGAGAACATGGCACTTGGGTTAGCTGCTGTGAGTGATAAGTGTCCAACTTTGAATGGGCTCTTTTATCCCAGGGCTATGAGAATTCTTTAAAAATGGTTGTAACAAAATTTGATCTGTTCAGAACCACATTTATTGAGTACCTTGTTTAAACTGCATCAAAATATATCTCTCATTAAGCAAATGTAGACTCAACCTGTAGAGTGAAGTTGTCTAACACAGTTCTGGAGGGTGGAGGTTTTACTGTCCACATTGATTGGGATTAGAATAATGCATAGTTTTCCTATTGGAGACAGGATATTTCAGTTATATTTTTAATTCCTTATTTGTGATTCATTGTTGTCAAACTGATGTAATAGTGCACAGAATTTCAGAATAAAAAGTACTAGGCAAGATAACATTCTAAAATCATGTTCTAATTGTTACAAATGTTGTGATCATTCTAATTTAGAGGGATATATTCTTTATTTAATGCATCTTTATTTTAAAAAATTACTTTGACTCTATTATTTCTAGAATCATTCAGCATAAACTTATGCCACTAAACTTTTGAATTTAAATTCCAGATCTCAAAGAAAGAGTCATAGAGAAGTCATAGGGATTGATGTTTACTTACAGTAGTTCTTAAATGGAATTTTGATAGCTATCAAGTAATATATAACAAGTAGCTTCTTTTCTATGATTTAAGAAGATTTAAGGAATGCCTGTCAAGTAATTTCTCTAGCTTTGTTTTCACTTGCAAAAGTGAATAGAAGGAAAAGATATTCTATCTCTGCTTTTCAGTATATGGTGTTTTTTTTCTTCCTTGACAGTCTGCCAGGGCCTACAAAGAGGTGTACTGCATGATTGTTCAGTGTAATTTTTCAAACAGGTATTGACTTTTAGGAATATGTCATCTCAGTATTGAGCTATCCAAGTTCCTGGTGCCCTTTTCTAAAACCAACATTGCATTTTCTGTTACAACAGTGACATCATTTTTTTTTTTTAATTAAAGCCAGTGTTCTTTGCTGTTTTTGTGCTTGCTTATTGAATTAAGGTAACTGCCCAGATATATCGGTGTATATATATGATATAATTCAAACTCCTCTCCAGAGAGAATAGGACTAGCGCTTTTGTCAGTAAAACTTATGTTGCTCAGAGGTTTGAAAGACCACCCACCTGACTGACCTAAATTACCCTGATGGAAGCGCTGGTGTGAACACTATTATGTTGGTGGGATGCTATTCTTCTGACTTACATACCACCTCACTAATTATGTCAATTAAAATATTCTGCCTATTTGCAAGATTTGACTCTAGAATGTGCAGGGAAAGCTAGAAGGGAAAAAAAATTATTTAGAGTAAACTAAGTGCCCTAACTTTATCTGAGTGTCACATTTGAGCTTGAATTTCAATATTCTAGGTTTCATGTTAAAGAACAAGCAGCTTTTTAGGATTAAGGCAGCATTTTGAAGGACATGTTTAGCTGACATTTTTGGGCATTTCGATTCTGATACTATTTTTACTTTTTGAAATTAAGACTTTAATCCAGTTCCTGATAGTTTAAACTAAATGTTAATTTGACAAACTCTTTTTTTCTTTTTTCTTTTTTTTTAATTTAGGTTTGTTCTAGATGGTCACATTCCTTACTTGAATGCTTTTCAGTGTTTTCCAGAGGAGATGAAATTGTATGGAGTTGATCTCAAGATCTTTCGTGTAGAGGTGACTTTCACCTTTTTCATTTTTATTTAATAAGCTACATATCTTATGGTATATTGTACTCCTGAGTTATGGTACTGAAAATTTGGGTGGATCTACCTTTGTTATATTATTTATTTCCTCTTAGTCATCCAGGAGCCAGTGAGCAAATTATTCTGATTACTTTTCATGTTTGAATTAGAATAAATAGTAGGGATATTTAAATGTGTCTTTCGTAAACGTGTAACTGCTGAAGATTTCAATAGTTACACGTGTAAATATAGTGGGGAGGTGGCTCCACGGGAGCTGGTGCACACAAGGAGCGTCTGCGGGAGCACTGGCTCCTGCCTGCGGGCTCTCTTCCTCCCCTCTGTATCGGAGGCAGCAGTGGAGGGGAGGAGTGGCCTTGCGTGTAAGCATAAAGGTTAATCCATGAGCCATAGGCTTATTAGTTAACCATTTAAATAAATACACTAACACATCCCTATTAAATAGGTTGATAACTTCATAAGTACTAAGTATGTTTTTCTCATAGATTGCAAGGCTAGGAGGTACCGTTGTGATCATCTAGTCTGGTCTCCTATAATTCCCCCCAAATAATTCCTAGAATGTATTTTTTAGAAAAATGTCTGAACTTGATTATAAAAACTGTAAGTGATGGAAAGTCCATCACAACCCTGGTAAACTGTCCCAGTGAATAATTATCCTCAAGTATTTTAGTTGCTTCTCTCCTGGGTAATACAGAAAATATAAATAGAATTTAGGTTCTGCTTCCCATAAAGGCAGTACTCCGTTGAAATCTCCCTCTGTTGAGAAGCAAGCTTTATCAGTTTTTACAGTATCATGTGTTCTTGCTGTATTTATTGAAAATTGGGGGGGTTTAGCATTAAACTAAAGAGTTCACGTTAAAATATTCTGTCCATATGAAAATATGCTGCATGTACTTAACTGCCTTTCCCTTTGGCCCACTTTGTAGAACATCTACAGCACGTCCTGCCACATACCCCCTTCTAACTATGAGAGTCTCTCTTTAAGGGCACTGTGAGTGTGGGGAAGGACCAGCCCCTGCTGCCACTCTGTTTCAGGTCCCCTGGTAATTCCCCCCAGAAAGGTACAGTAGGGGTGGGAAAAGCTGGAATAGGAAGAGGCAGGACATGGGTGAAGCAGGGGTGGGAAGAAATCTGTTAAAATGCACTGTGAAGTATCTGGAGCTGATCTGTCTGGAGGAATCAGCTTTGCTAGTTGTTCATTGCTGTGGGGAAAGCATCCCATACCCACAATGCATTCCATGCCTCCTAGTTTGAGAACCTCTGATCTAGACCATCCCTGACAGGTGTTTGTCTAACCCACTCTTAAAAATCTCCAACGATGGAGATTCCACAACCTCCATAGGCAATTTATTGTAGTGCTGAATTACCCTGATAAGAAATTCCTGTCCGTGGACTGGATCCAGTCCGCAGTGTTAGTCCCTGGGGGCCCCAACTCACTTGCAACTCTACTAGTATCAGAGGATCATAGCTCTCGATGACTGCGAATCGCAATTCATGTTCAATGCAAGCAGTGGGAAGTAGCGTCCTGATCCACGATGCTTCCCGCTGTTCAATTGGCCATGAATGGCAATTTGCGGCCAACCAGAGCTGTGATCCTCCGATACTTGCAGAGGTGCAGGTAAACATGGTGGGCTGTGGCTGCTAGGGACTAACTCTGGGGGCTGCTGATTTTTTTTTTTTTCTGTTGCCCACTCCTGCTCTAAGGTTAAGGAGAATAATTTTTCTCTCTTCTTCTATTGACTTTTTTTATGAATTTGAATATTTATGTATTCTCCCTCTGCTTTCTTCATATTAAAACAAGCTCAATTCTTTCAGTCTTCCCTCATTGGTCATGTTTTCTAGACCTTTTAATTGTTTTTGTTGCTCTTCTCTGGAATTTCTCCAGTTTGTCCTCATCTTTTCTTGAATGTAGTGCTCAGAACTAGACACATTAATCCAGTAGAGTTCTAACCTCAGTGAAGAGTAGAGCAGCCTCTACCACCCACAGTGGGGCTGTATTGGCGCAGCTGTCTGCTGCGCCATGGCAGTGGTGAGCTGGGACCAGAGCAGCCCCCTGCTCACAGCCATGGGTTAACCAGTTAAACACACTACATCCCTAGTCCTCAAAGGAAATCTGCACAATACTTTGAAAAGATGAGCTTGGGAACTTAAATTAATATCTGTGCTACACCCTAAAAATTCTGGGTTTAGTAAAAACACTGAATTTATGGCTCATTTCAGCTATATGTAACCCACTAACCCTCCTTTGTTATATGGCTATAGATACGTTAACTACTCATTTCACCTTGAATGGTATGGTCTGCTTTGAATTTTACAGTCATACTCTGAATGCATGTCTACACCAGTGTTCCCTTGGCTTGGGTTGCCATCCAAGAGAGATTCCAGTGCCATCCAGATGATTAGCAGAGCACCCACAGCTGGCAGCATGTGTTTATACTACTTGTGCACATCTAGACATGCCTCAGTGCACATAACAGAATTTATTCTGCATATGGATGGAAAACATTAGAGGGAACATTGGTCTACTCCACAATTACACATGCAGCTGACTTACGCCACTAGTAGGGATGTCAACGAATAGTCTACTAGATGATTAACCAGTAAGCGTAGGCTTATCAATTAATCTTGTTGATTACTTGCATTCCCTCTCCTTACTGCCACTGTATCAGAGGCAGCAAGTGGTGGGGGTGGACCAGCAGGAGCCAGTGCTGGGGGAAGTTGGCTTAAAAGCCAGTTCCCCTAGCTTTGGGTCCTCAGTGCCACTCCCTGCCTCCTCCTACTGTGCTGCTGCTTTGTGCTGCGAGCAGAGACTGCTTCAAGGTAGCAACCCCTGTCCATGAGGGGACTGAGCTCTCCATGAACAGAAGCTGATCCACATCTCCCAGAGCAGCCTCTTTACATGGGGAGCTCAGACACTCCACGGACAGGGGCTGCTGCCACTCTGTGCTGCTGCCTCTGTATCAGAGGTAGCAGCAAGGGGCTCCCTGGGAGTGGGTCTGGAAGTGCACTGGCTGCTGGCCCCGCTCCCAGGAACTATCTAATAGTCATGTAACTGCATAGATTTCATGCATTTTCGACTATTCAGATACCTGCTATCTAACATCCCTAGCCACTAGCTCAGGCTGAGGTGTGGTTTAATTGTGGTATAGTTTCAGGTTCAGGCTGCAACCTGGGTCTAGGACTGAGGTGGGAGAGTCCTGGGAACATCCCTGAACAGCTACACGATAATTAAACAACACGTTAGGCCAAGAACGAGAGTCAAGTAGTATAGGCCAGCCACAGGAGTATCATTGCAATGCATACACGGTTTCTTTCTTAGACCTGAAGGAAGAGCTCAGTGAAAGAAACACGCTTTCACTCTTACACAAACAGAAATTGGTTCAATACAAGAGATCGCTTCACCCATCTTGTCTCATTCTTATTAGAAACAGGGCTGAACTGCAAAATATCGATGAGTTTTCCAAAAGTGTTGTGATCAGAGACCTGTTGCGCTTAGATTTTGTGCTTCTGTAATTCACATATTTATAGTCAAAACTACAGTTGAAAGATCTCTGTGGTGATCATGTGCTGTGAATATTTTGCTTTCTTTACTTGTGACTACCAAATATCTCGATTGCTCAATAAAAATAACTTGAGTTAAACATATTCATACCACAAATATGCAGCAGAATCAATTCAGCATTGTGCAACTAAAGCTAAAATTGTAAAAGCCATTTTTGTTTTGTAAATCTCAAGTTTTATTTTTTATTTTTTTTTAAAGCAGTGAGCGTCTTCTATTTTCCATGTGAGATTTGGATGCAGACTAATTGCTACTTAGCCTGAAGGAAAATATAAAATCAGAAAATTTCCTATGGATTATGAAGAGAGATTTATACAGCAGTTCTGATAACTTCCTACTAGCAAGATGGAAACAATGACTGGGCCTATTTTTAACCTGAAGGTCTCAGTTTTAGAAATTAATACTTTATTAGACATCCAAAAGGATTAAAAAGATATCATCTGTGTTGTAACATTATAAAATCTGTTAGGAGATTGTAGATTATTAGTATTTAATTAATCCAATGAGCTCTACTAAACACTTCTTCAGAATATAGTTCAGTATGTTTACAGCATTTAATCTAGTTTATGAAAAACCACACTGAAGTGTTCATTTTTCATTAGTCTCATTGATGTATTCTGGCCTTATATCTAAACTAGCCAATTAGCCCATCGTAAGATGGGATTTTCTGGTCTCTTCTCCACCTTGGTCTTCTCTCCTGAGCCTCCAGTCTCTCTCTCTCTCTCTCCCTCTCTACTGCCTCCTTCTCTCTCAGCTCTCCTCTGCCTCTGTCTCTTTCTTTCTCTTCTCCTCCTCCTGCCTCTCTCTCCCCTCCG